GTTTGCACTGAAGCACCGCAGCAATTTCCTAATGTTGTAAACCTCAACATCTGGCAATAAACCCCATTCTGATTCTGATTCTGATTCTGATTCTGAAATCTTAAGGATCTGGCACTACAGGATCAGCCCACACACATGTGGTCACCCTGTTAGAGCCTGTCTGACTTGGCCCTACAGGTGTCAAGATGCACCTTGGCTGGACATTACAAGGTCCAGCTCAAGAGGTAATGCAGCAATTCAATTCAATTCATTTTTATTTATACAGGGCCAAATCACAACAACAGTCACTATAATGATAAGGATAAGATTTATTTGTCAGTTGCAGTTGCCTGCAGCTGACCATACAGACAATACCTAAAATATACAAACTTACATTGGGGAGAAATGTCAGGCCAGGCATTAACAAAGGGATAGACAGTGAGATATGTAACATATAGGGGCAAAACAGGGTTTCTGCCTATGATGACTTCCAACAAGGAAGTCATCATGAGGAGAAAACAAAAAACTCCATAGCATATAAAGAAGCACAAATATCATCACACTATAACACCATGAAACACAGACAAGCCGCTTTACATTGCAAGGTAGATGCTACAATAATACATACAGAGAAAAACCCAACAATCATATGACCCCTGTGAGCAAGCACTTTGGCGACAGTGGGAAGCAAAAACTCCCTTTTAACAGGAAGAAACCTCCGACAGAACCAGGCTCAGGGAGGGGCGGGGCCATCTGCCACGACCGGGTGGGAAGAGAAAGAAGGAAGACAGGTTAAAAGACATGCTGTGGAAGCGAGCCAGAGATGAATAACTCTTGACTAAGGAGCACTTGACTGAGGACCAGTGTTATTTCACCACCCGTCAGTCCCAGAATGCAAACCTGTTTTGAGATGTTGGAGAGACTATGGCAAATGGATGTGCTACCCTTTTGCACTGCCAAAGCCAGCACCAGGTCGTGACAAGAAGCTATTAAGCTTCTTGAGACATTGGTGGAGTTAAGCTGTATGCAACACAGCTCCTACAGGCTTATAATATGTCTACGCTGTCTGCACCTAAGGAGGCAGTTCTCCCTGTGCGCCACAGTACAGAGCGCAGATTGTTGAAGTCACTGGAGCATGTCCTTGCCTACACAACAGAGATTCAGAGACTGGAAAGGGGAAGTTATTTTTTCAAACTATACTGTATCTTCGTAAGGTCTACAATATAAAGGGCTTTGAGGCGACTCCTGTTGTGATTTCCCGCTGTAGAAATAAAATTGAATTGAAATTAAAATAAAAATTGAGCTGAGAATACTCCGACTAGCTGCTATATCCCATGCCACATGGCGCAGCATAACGGCAAGAATTGACTTGTATCAGTGACTACCTTCTCCCTGGATGTACTTTGGGGCCACAACTCCTGGCAGTTCAGTCTCTTCTTTGAGACTGAAGAAGTCACTTGGATGAGTGACAAAACGTTTCTCCCAAAAAACGCTACATCCAGATCAACAGAATCAACTTTTTGGAGATTTACTTTCCTGGATGACTGAGAATGCATCAAGACGATGTTTATATTATTTCCTACAATTTCAGAACCACTCCCCTACTGGCCAGCTACAGTTTGTGCTTAATGTGTGCCAATGATAAATAAAGTTTTCCAGTGCTGTGACATCATCTCTGACTGGACATTATTACAAGAGGACAGCACTGAACAGCGTTCTAGTGATAGTGGGTTATTGTGTCTGCTATAACATCATGTATGAATCACATCATTTCCTGTCACAGTTACCCAAAAGGGGTTTTGGGGTCAGTTTACAAAGTGAGGTACAGTGAGGATTATTAAAAGAATAAAGAAAAGGAAAACACTGCAGTGGAGAAAATGTTCAGATCAAACACCAAACAGTTTTCTGAGGAAGTCTTTAAACCTTCCAAAACAAAGAACATTCCCTAACTCTCACATGTTGGCCTATCTCTCCCTGATAAGGAGGTGTCTCACTATCTGTCTAATGTCACCCATGAACTTACAATGGCCCCACTGTATCAAGTGTGTGTAATGAAAGTGTTACTGGGAAAGGGATGTGTGGAATACTCTGTTCAGTCTGCGGCCATCATGACTGAGCTTTGGATAATTTAAAAATAATGATTGGATAATCAATCAGTCGACTTGACTTGCGGTTGCAGCATACATAAGTGAAGCAAAATAAATTCACAGAAAGATTTCCAGGTTTCCTGAAACTACAGTACGTGACGTCATGCTTCTTCTTTGCTCAGAAACGTGTCATTGTCCTCAGGCAGAGAATCACAGTCATTGACAGTAGAGGGACAACTGAAGGTAACAGCTTTTTATTATTTCTTTTATAGCATTGTTACTATAGCACAACCATGACAGGTGACTTTCTTATTCAATTTGATTCATATGAGAGCTTTAATCCAGAATAGTTAATCATAGTCGAGGCTATTTATCTTCTGAATGTATGAACAAAGCAAACGTATCATGTCCTTTCTTTTCTGTGGATAAAAGTAGTTGGTGGCAATGGAAAATTGCATTTATGTTGTTAAAATTCACAAGTCAGTGTAACTTAGTGAAGACGTAAAACTCGTACGAGGAAAGAAGTTTCTTTGTGTTTGATTATGAGACCACTGAGACGTCCCAACTTCCGTATGTACGCATGTAAAAAGGGGGAAGTAATACAGGAAAATGCTTTTTGAAAAGTGCTACAGCAGCGTGCTTATTGATACATGCGTATATGTGCACATTTGTATCACTCAGATCAGCCATGAAGCTGTTTCCACATCATCCTGTTATTTGGTCCAGTTTGTTGGTTTTGTGGTTCACACAATGTGGTAAGTGAAAGAGTAATCACAATGTACACAGACACTCTGTGAACAAATGGGCTATAAGGAATAGCTATGAAAACATTTGACCTTAAATCATTGGTGTTTTTTTTTTAAACAAAAGATTTCCTTTAATATTACTTTAATCAGGGTGGTGTTCAGCTTTATTTCCTTTTCTTCTTCTTCTTCTTCTTTCCCCCAAGAATCTGAGGGCCACACTTTGAATGCCTGTCAAAAGAAAATGGATGACCAGTACGAGGTGAAAATAAACCTATCCTTTTATCTTTGAAAGACCATACAGACATGGTGCTTGTACCATTAGGTCCATAAGTATTTGAACAGTGAGACAGTTATTGTAGTTTTGACTCTGTACACAACTACAGCCGATTTGAAATTAAACAATCAGGAAGTCATTGAAATCCAGACAGGAATTACAATTTTATGTATAAAAATGGCTGTAATGGCTTGCCACTCTTTACTCCAGCACCATTGTGTTGGTGTACAGAGACTGTCCAAAAATGTATGGCTCTAACTAATAAATATAAATATGGTGCGTTTGTTAATGTTTCAATGTTCTGATCTTGTATGTGAAGTTGGGTATGGTTCTCATACGGACTTCAGCTCAGCAGGATTCCTATGAAGACCTTACAGATATAAAGGAGAAGTTTATCTGCCTCCTCTACCCAACAAATGAGCTCAACTGCTCCTGGTCATTCAACACTTTAGAGAAGGATACTAAGCTCTCTGTGTTTATCAGGTATTCTTATTTTTAAATAGAGCTTTATTTACAAATAAGGTACAATAAGCTGAAACACTGCTTTGAGTCTGTATCTCCTCTGTCTCCCCTACCAGCATTTGTGATGATGAAATACTGGTTGAGTCACTAAACTATACTTCTGTGGAAAGAGCTGGATCAGCGTCTTTGATTCTCAGCAATAATATGGCAGAAGTCATCCTTCATTTGAACAAGTCCATGCAGAACAAGTGGACGTCTTACACCTACGTGTATGACATGGACATGCTGGGTAATATTTCAAGACTATTAAGTAGTTATAAATGATAATGCTATAGATCATATTAAAAAAAATACAAATATCTCTCTCGCTTTTGACAATTTTTCTCCATCAGTAATTTAAAAATTTCTGTCCTTTGAGATCTTGAAGGCTGTGACTAAAACTCGGGGTTAGTGCCAAGTACAGGGGGTATGGAGTGGTAACCTGAAGTTTCAGTTCAGACTCCAGTGTATTTCAGCCACAATCTACAGCAGATGTTCAGAATTAAACGTTTCCAGTTATTTTACTAATTGTGCATGTGTGTCTGTGTGTCTGTGTGTGTGAGACAGAGCTCCTTTCTCCACCTCCAAACATCTATGCGTCAGTCAAAGGTGGAGCCCTGGTTGTATCATGGGGTCTGCCTCGCACCAGAGAAGTCGTTAACTCTTATTGTTTTGAATACCAGCTGGACAAAGGTGATCAGGTACAGTATCTCTGATCACGGATCTTTCTCGTGCACATATGACAGGATTAATGAATGAGACAAACTTGGTGAAAAACTCAACTCAGTGAGGACTAAAGTATTTTTAATGTTTTAATTAGAGAAAAACAAAAATGACTTTTTAAAGTAGAAAATGTGAACATCTTTTGATAAATGCTGGTTACATTTTTTTTCCATTCTCAGAAGCAATAAATAACACATTCTGATAGGTTTAGCTGTACTCAATAGAAGTTGAAAGTCAGAGCAGTCTGAGGTACAGAGGAACATTAAGGTAAACCCAAGATTTATTTATTTATTTTTAATGGCTCTTTTCAAAACAGGAACAGCCAATATACTTGATCGCCCACCAGTCTTACAGAGAGCCAGTTTCAGATGCCACACGCACCTACAAACTGAGAATGAGGACACGAATAACAAACACCTGCTCTGGATCATCTCAGTGGAGTGAATGGAGTGATGGTGTTGTCGTGCAGAATGATTCAACCGATGGCTGGTGATCCAGTGTCAGCGACTGGTTGAAGGGCTAGTGTCTGAAAGCCTTAGTAAATGTTATTATTTTTGAAACTTTTCTTTCTTGATCATATTCTTTCTTGGCCCTGTGAAACTGCATTTCGTTGCCCTGTACCTGTGCATGTGCAATGACAATAAAGTTGAATTCTATTCTAATTCTATTCTAGTCTACAGGAATTGACAAAAAGAGATATTTTCTTTAACCATTTCACATATAGTGGCCACTATAATGGACAGCTATTCAAAGACTGTTTTCTTGTATTTGTGTCAGTGTTCATAGTTTACTTGCACATAAACACAACACAGTGTATATTATTTATTCGTTTTCCAAATTCATAAGTCAAAACATATGTTGTCCACAGGTGGACATTTTAAAAAACATTTTAAAACAGTTTTAAAAAAAGTTCAACAATCTGCCTAAAGATGAATAAAAATACTTAAGAAAACAATCCTGATTGAGGTTGTCATAATTCATGCATGAAAGGGTTAAGCAAAGTTGGATGAAAGCTGCTTCCATGTAATATAATGTTTCTTTCTGTTGGTTTCTAAATACAGATGTATGTAAAGTCTTTCTTATCTTTAAAAATGGCAAGGTCTAAGACCCTCACCTTGCGATACTAATAGCTTAATATTAGGATTATTATTAAAAAAAAATGTGAAAAGCAGGTAGTGCTAGAAACCAAGTAACAGTGTAGCGTCCCCACCAAAACATGCTCCTGATTAAACAATCTTCTTCCCCTTTACTCAGGTAGAGCTTCCAAAGACCGGTGTCTTTTGTGGAGACATGACTCTGAAAACTCTAATTCAAGCACTATTTATGCAATCTACATGAGTCCTACTGTACTGTCAAGAGGTCATCCTTAGCTTTCCATGGTTGCCACATTTGAGGGGGTTAGACTAACAGAGCAATATTGTTTTCAAAATAATGAGAATTTCAGCTTTTATGGAAGTTCAGTTTTATTTATGTAGTACTAAATCACAACAACAGTCACCTTGAGGTGCTTTATATTGTACAGTAAAGACCGTACAATAATACAGAGAAACCCCCAAGAACCAGACCCCAAGAACCCCTTTCAGCACATGACACTCTACATTGTCACACATCATTCAAATCTGACATTTCTCTGTGATGACCCACACCACCTTGACTTCTTTTTGGTCTGCTTGAGTGTCAGGTCTTATTTGCTGGCATTGGAAGGCTGATGTGACTGGTTTGTGTGCCAACACTCTATAAAAGACCTCAGAGCTCAGTTGTTTTTATGGCTCTCCTCTCTGAGACACCTTTTTCGATTGTGTTCTTTCTCCAAACAACCTTGCATACACCATTTCTTTGACCGTGTGATGGTTTTGTGTATTGTTTTTGTAATTTGTTATTTCTAGTATTTAATAGAAGTTTAGTTCAGTGCATTTGAGTTTTGGTCTATGGATTTCCTGTTTTATTCTGAAAGTCTGTGTCTCATGTCAATGTCTCTAGTTTTATGTCTCCCTTTTAATTTGTATCAGCTCTGTTCCTCATCTGGTCCTCATTCCCTCATTTTCCTCTGGTACTTATTTTCTGTGTTTTCTTCTGTGCAGGGTCACGTCGTTAACGTCTGCTCACCATCGGTCCTGCCTGTGTGTTCTGTTCCTGTGTCATTTTGAGTTTTGTAGTTTTGGTCAGCAATAAAGCTGAGATTATTCTCTGAGTTTACCTCTGCCTTCACTTCTCCGCCTGCCCGCACACAGAGAGCCTTGACAGATCGTTTACAGCACTGCTTGTATTGACTACACACCATGGTTACACTAAATTTTGATGAGAACTCTCTAAAAGAGTTTTTGAGAACTCTCTTAAACAGAATGCAACAAAGAAAGATTCCTTTCACGGGCCAGTGACCTGGGTGGCAGTTGAGGAACCAAATCCCACAGCTTCAGAACTCTAGCTTACACAATACTGCTTACTCATACTTTGGATGTCATCATTTTGTCCCTTCCAAGGCTCCGAGTAGGACTGCACTTTCACAATTCTGAGTAAAATCCTTTCTCACTCAGTCTCCCGTCATATCATCCATGACCATTATTACTACCATGGCGTATCGACCGAGCTGTATCTGACTTATAGGTGTGCAAAAAACCCACATCTCAACAATGAGAATTTATTTGTTAAAATTGTGTTTTAGCGTTCAGATGTGTTTCTATGCTGCTGTATAGGTGGTAATGATGTAATGATTCAACACCACAGTTACTAAAATCATCTCTGTGTTCACACTTTTCAGTTGTGTGATCTTGTTGAGCACATCATTGGTGCCTTGAGCCAAAGCAGGTTTGAAGGACTAACCTGTCTAGTGATGCGCAGCAAATGTATTATATTTGTTAAAATAGTACTTGAGATGCATACAGTGAGACCCAAAGTTCTATTCTGGACAATAATTTGCATGCAAAAGCCAGGTGCAGCAAAAATGAAAACTCATATATGCAAATTGATGTTTAATTTCTT